GCACTGCACAGTGCGTGTGCAGGGCCTGCCCCCCCCCAGTGTGCTGGCCCAGCTCCAGTGGACATTTTCCTTCTCGACTGTCCCTCTGCCTGCCACAAAGCGAGCTCTCCAGACGTCAGCCAGTAAATAACCTCCAGGAGAAAGAGGACAGGTCACGTGTCTGCGGCCACCAAGGCAGGACCCAGAGCAGCCAGAGGACACGTGCCGTCTCCACCTTTGCTTTGGAGCACCCCACGAGTCTGCTTTGAGCGGCTCCGACTGGGGGTGCGCAAGGCTGGCCATTCTGCAGCCAGGCGCAGGACAGCGGGACCTTGACACCAGCCCCCTGGACGGCAAGTTGGCCCCGTGCTGTGGGGGATTTCAGAGTCCACACCTGCTCGCTCCTAGGACTGCGTCACAACAGGATAGCTGGAAGGGCGCCTGTGGATGTGCGCACAGGGGTCAGTGGCCCTGAAGTCATCGATCGCTGTCGAGAGCAGGGCTGGAAATGAACGCGGTGGCCAGGGGCAGCCAAGCAGACAGCACGTCCCCAGGAGGAGCCTCTGAGCCGGGGAGCTGTGGACGTGCGCTCATGGGTGTGGAGAGGTGCCCGGGGAGGCATCCCTGCCCGGCACAGCAGACCAGGGCTGGCGTCCCCAGCGGGGACCCTCGTAGACCGCTGCGCACGCCGGCTCTCCCCTCTGTGTGAATACCGGGAACGTGGAGCTCGGAGACCCATCTACTGCGCGATAATGGTGCCGAGGATGAGATCGTCAGAGATTCTCTTTCAGCTCATCTTTCCTTCAGGCCTCGTCTTCGTTCTTTATGTTTTTTTCAGTCAACGCTTATTACTTTAATAACCATAAAAACATTATTTTTGTATTTAGATGGCTCTCTGAGCTTGGTGTTGGAGGCAGGGCTTCGTCCCTGGAACGTCCCCTCAACTCGCCGAGCAGGGCGGGCCATCTCCTGGCAACGTCTCCTGAGCACCTGCTGCCGGGGCACCCCCGGGGCCCCTGGACGCGTGGCGCACGGCACCTGCACAGGGCTTCTCCAGGTCCCCTGTCCCCGCTTGTAGAAGGAACCAGTCGTGGTCTTCAGGGCCACCCTGAATCTGGGGTGCCCTCCTGGGAGGTCATCTGAGAACTTCTTTCCAATGTCATCCCCTCCCAGGTTTGGGGCTCTGAATCGGGCGCCACGACTCGTCCACTAAGCTCCCAGAGGTGTCAGACCCTTCCCTCCTTCACTTGGGAGAGTGGCTGCTGCGTGCCAAGGGCCACCACTCTCTAGGTCCCACAGGGCATGAGGGCTGACTGGACAGTCCATGTCCCCAGCAGGTGCGAGGGAATGAGAACCACGAGGAGATGCCCCGGGGCTGGCAGGACAGGGGCTGGGCTGGCCAGGCTGTCCTGAGCCCCAGTCCAGCCCTGCTCTGCCGCTGGGTCCCCTCTGCCCTCAGCTGCGGGCCCTCTTGGCCTGTCCCTAGGAGACAGTGGGCCCCATGGCTTCCCAGGGGGTGAGGATGTGCCCTGCCTCGGTCCGGTCCCAGGAGTCAGGTCTGTGAGTGGGAGGGACTTAGGGACAGAAGCCCCCTCCCCGTGTCACAGTGGAGGGAGGGGAGCCCTTGCCTCTCTGGAGTGGGTTATGGCTCCTTCACCCTGAGAGCCCTTGGCCAGGCCCGTGCCCGCCCTGAGCTCCCGACTGGAGACTCAGCCCTGGGGGCACCCCCGGGTCCTGGTGGGGCCAGGAAGTCTCACCGAGGACACAAGATGGGGTCGAGGATGGGCAGGGGTGGGCAGGTGGCACAGGGCCGTGTCACTCCCAGGCCAGGCCCTGAGAGGCCAGCAGGAGCCTCAGGCTGAGGAGGCCTCACTCTGCCCCATCATGGGTCGGGCTGCAGGGGTCATGCTCAACGCCACGTCATAGATGAGGAGACCGAGGCTCAGGGTGGTGGAAGGACCCGTTGAGCTCAGAGCCTGTTGGGGACAGGGCCTGGGGCAGAGCTCTGGATGCCCCGACAGAGTCCTTCCCTGGCACCACATCTCTCCTCAAGAGCGACCGTCTTTCAGGGGCCGCTCCGTTTCCAGGTGGGAGTCCAGCTCTGTGGACGCATGTGTCTCTCAGAGTCCCTGCTAAAGGTGCTCTGCCCCCAGGAAGCCGGTGGGCTGTGCCTGTGCCTGGCCAGCCTGGCCTTGTATGGAGACACAGGCTCAGAGAAGCTTGGAGACTTGTTGGCAGCTGCACAGCAGAAGACAGGAGCAGGATGTGGCCTCTAGGGCCCGAGGACTCGTCCCTCTCCCTCTCCATCACTGTTTGTGTGGGGTCTGTGCTGGGCATGGGTAACCTTGTGGGCTAGATGCTGTCTGACCTTCTGGTGGCCCTAAACTTGACAGCAGAAGGGGTTTCCCACTAGGCGCCTGCCGCAGTCTGGCTGGGCACAAAATCATGAGCCACTCAAGCAGGAACAAACTTTATTTCCAAAACTCCCGCGAACGCCATGCACATGGCCTTCTCCCGGGACACAGCACGCCAACTGGAAATCCCTCCTCAGGAAATCCCTCCTCCCTCTGCCTAGGCCAAGGCCTCAGGCCCTGGGCAACCAGGGCCTCAGGAGTGGACAGACTCGGGCCCAGTTCTCAGCCCTGCCCCTGGCGTCACCTCCTCTGCCTCCATCTCACTAGGGTGGGTGCCCACGGACTGCCTGTTTCCCTCGGGGGCCCAGAGTCTCCAGTGCCGAGAGAGGCTGGGGCCTGGCCAGGTGTCTTGTTGGGTGGGGGTCTGCTCCTAAAGGCTGGGCACGCCCTCTTCTTGCCCTGTGTCTTCCTGGTAGGCAGGGTGGCCCCTCACCCTCTCTTCCTCTTGCTCACCCCTGGGGGCCTCCGGCCAGTCTGACGCTGTCCAGGGTGGAAGCGGTCTTCCACTTGGCGGGTCCTCAGGGTTGGCCTACCCTCCCCCGTCCAGCCCGCCTGCTGGGCGGCCCTCCCCCTCCTTCCCGGGAGTTGGTTCTGTGCTTGGTTCTCCTGCTGATGGGAGGGGATGGGGCAGGAGGAAGGCAGCTGAGCCGGCCCCTGTCAGAGGGACGTGGGGCCCGAGAAGTGGGGGCTGAGCTGGAGGGACAGACCTCCATGGCGGTCCTGGCCTCAACTGTTAAAGTCGGGTAAACTGAGGCTCACGAGGCACGACAGGCAAGCTGTGCACCCTGAGCACCAGGCCTCTGCGGGCAGAGTTATGGACGGGGTCCCAGCACTCCACACCTACCGCCCCCCAAACGCCTATCTCCTACTTCCCGAGGTCCTGAAGGGGCGCACATTGTCATTTGCATTGGCTGGGCTACACATGGGTGACAGGCAGAGCCTGGGTCTACAGTCCAGCCAGCCTGAGATGCTGTCCAGCACCACCGCCCACTCCCTGGCCACCATGGCGTCCTGAGACCCTCAGTGTATCCTGCGAGGTGGGCAGTGAGCCCTCTCCCACGTGCATGAACAGCGCGGAGCAAGGCTCTCTAGGGCCCTAGAACCTGTGGCAGAGCCAGTGCCCTGGGGGAGCCCCTCTGGGGGAGATGGTCAGCAGGGTTGGGTGGGTGGTCAGCGGGGCCAAGGCCAGGCAGCAGAGAAGGCAGTGGGCCGGGAGCAGTCCTGGGGCGGAGGAGGCCAGAGCAAGCAGGAAGCCGGGGGGCAGCACAGGGCTGGGGGGCCTGAGTGGAGGAGCCACCCAGCGTCTCGCACGGCAGGGACTTGACCCACTTGGGGGCCGTTTGCTCTGGGGCCCACTGGTGAGCGTTGGAGGCCTAGCGGCCCGAGTGGCCTGTTCCTATGGAAGTGGACCTGTAGCCCAGGAGCTCACTCTGGCCAGGGCCAGGGGTGGGAGAGGCAGCGCTGGAGGCCACTATCTTGGTGGCCAGGGCGGGGCGCTGTCAGGTGCCCAGCTGGGGGCTCAGTTCCGGGCGGCATGTGAGGAGGCCCTCCGCCTGGGAAGGCTCTGCCGCCCGCCACCCTCTCTCCACCAACCCAACTCCACTGGGATCAGCGTCAAGTATATTTAAAAAAAAATCAGGGCACAGAAAAGTGAGAATTAAGTAGAGTTTAATATTCATCATGCCTCGGGAGAGGGAAGATTGCCTAAGTTTAGAACTAATACAAGGAATCAGGAGAGAAAATATGGACAGGCTTGGCTGCATAAAAATGAAAATCTTCTGCATGTCAGAATTAAACCAGCACACGAGAAGGCCAGGAATAATGACCTGAAAACAAACCGCAGCAGATGTGACAGACAAGGCTGGATCGCTTTATTAAATAAAGGGCTTAGAAGACTTCCTCTAGAGTCCTGGAAATGCACAGAGGTGAGGTTCAGAGTTTTAAGACAGGAGAGGTCACAAGGACGGTGGGGCGAGACGTCCTCCTGCCTGGAGGGAGCTCAGGACTCAGGCTCCAGAGGTGGGCAGGGCTGCCCAGGACTTGCTCATTTCTTCTTGTCTTTTCCCAATTTTATTTGGGGGGTGTACTTTGCCCATAAAGAGAGTGGTGTGAGCCAATTAGTAATGCGGGATCCGCTCTCGTTGGAACTGTGGGTACCGGCCACCGTACCGAGGGGTGGCTAGGCACCGAGGGCTTTCTGCATATCACTCAGTGAAGCCACTCACTGAGTCCACAGGGCAGGTGCGCATTACCATCCTTATCATAAAGATAAGGAAACCGAGGCTCACAGTGGTGAAGGGCTCACCGGGTCACAGCTAGCACGTGGGAGGACGGGATACGGGGCGGGTGCAGCCTCCAGGAGGGCAAGTGGTGGCCACAGGGCAGGATCCCTCTGCAGGGCTGCTGGCGTTCTGTGT